CCCAACCAAGCAGCCAACAACCCCTAATTGGCCAGCGCAGCCCCACTCCCCACCAGATGGCTGCTATCAGCAACACCTGCTGCAGGGGGAGGGGAGAGGAAACGCCCTCACTGTTTCCTGGTTTGGGTCCAGGGATGGGGGGAGGGAGGGACAAGCAGGTTGGGTAAATGCAGCAGGAAGGCTCCGGTCCTCCACCCCCGCCCCAGGCTCTTGACAGATGCAGCTCGGAACTTCCTGGCTTTTTGCTACATGGGAAACTGGAGCCACCTGCCATACAGACACAGCCCAACCCCCTCCAAGATCCAAGCCAGCAAGCTGGGGGCCTGCACGGCAGAGGGACTCCCCTGCCCAGCTGTACAGGGAGGATATAGAGCCTTTTCCTTCTCTTTGTGACAGTCTGGGAGCAGGGCTGGGCTGGTGCTCACCCAGAGCAGACAAGCACCAGCTGAAGCTAGCAGACTGAGCAGTGAAGTGTCCCTGGGTTGACGGCAAAATGCGACCTACCTTGACTCACCGTGGAATCTGATACAGACTGTTGATAAAGTGCTCTAACCTAAAGCGCTTTAGTCTGATACCACCATCCATCCAGGGTTAGCTTCGAGCAGGATCCACCATTTTTCAAGTGCTCTATGTACCATGAATGTCTGTTTGGTTACAACTGTAGAGTGCTTTCCACATGCTTATCACGTGATAACTGTAACATCTGTACCTAGACTAAGTGTCAGAATGGAAAATGAATGCATCTTCATTTCAGCATGTTAGCAGATCAAATAAAAGGTAATAAAACAGCTGAAGGTATTAAGGGTGGAGTCATTCTAAGCATTGTTAATTTTTGCCAGCTTAAATATGCTAGAACATTTAATGTAACTTCCAAATACGTTCCCCCTTACAATCTCCAAGCAACTCTCAAGGGAAAAATATTATGGGTCTAGTAAAACAAATGCAAGAAAAGTTTGCACTGATACTTTCCATGTAGCATATGATAGTCAGTCATCCAACATTGATTTTTGATCAGGTTTGGGTGGCTAATTCCTTCAGGACATTTACAAAGTCCCTGCTACATAGTAAGCGTACACCTCTTTCTTTAGTTCAACTATTTTCACTTTAAAAAAAAAAAGTCCCTCCCATTTGAGTTAGCATGCAAGGTTTCAATTAGAGACATTCAACTGATTTATGACAAAAATTGAGTAAGGGACCATCATGCTAACATTAAAAAAAAACCAAAAGAACAAAAAGATTCCCTAAATAATAATACACAACATTAAATTTACCAAATTGCATAGATTACACATTAATCAATAGTCACACTCTTACCTGTTAATAATAATTCCTGTTCATTTTCTAATTCATGAAGCAACTGGATCAAATGGACAGACACATCAATTAACTGCAGGTTCCTATGTATATTTTGAATAATAAAGGAGAGAAAGTTAAACACTCTCTTAAAACAAATGAACAAAAAAACAAAACTGTATACAATTATAAATAAGATCAACATGAAGTCAACATGAAGTTTGCTATGTTTTCAATGGATGCAAAAAAAAAATCATCATCATTAAACTTCATATGTAGGGCCCTATAAGGGAAGGGAGAATTCTTATTCGTTTCCCATTGAAGTGCTATGTATTGCCTCATTATCCTTAAAAATAAAAGGCTCTCTTTTTTCCCCCAGACTCAACAAATCTCAACTCTTTCACTATGAAGCTAAAAGTTCACAAAGTCATAGCCTCTGCAAGCACTTGAATGTTCCATATACCTCAATGCTGGGTAAATGTTAGTGAATGCACAGACCAAAATACATTTCTGTAGCACAGTGGGTTCTGGTTTTGTGGAGATGTTGCCTTTCAGATCAGCCTGCTCCATGGTCACCCAACAGCTCCAGGAATACCTGCATGCTGTCACGATTCCTAGACCCTTGTCAGTCTGGTTTTCACCCTAAATACAGTATGGTCATGGTCTTGGTAGACAATCTCTGCTTGAAGATCAACAGGAGAAACCGTGCCCTGCTTATTTAGCTACGTCTTTCAGAGGCCTTTGACATAGTTGACCATGAAGTGCTGACAATGCACTTACAACCAATGGATACTGTGAGGGGGGGGCAAAAGCCCCCACCCCTCAACATGGCCCTGGATCCCTCCCGACGAGCCCCGATACTTACCACAGGGGCGGAGATATGCCAATGCAGGCTCGGCAGTTCCGGAGCTGCCTAAGCCTGCGAATCGGTGAGCCCCGAAGGCGGGGCCTCAGAGGAGCATGGGCTGCTCAAAGAGTAGCTGGAAAAGGAGTCAGCTGGGCAGAGGGAGAGGCGCGGCACACGGGCTGGGAGACGCAAGCGGTGGAGCCAGGCGGTAGCAGCCCTGAGCGCAGAGAAGAAAGCCCTAGTATCAGCCGGGGAAACCCGGCTGACGGAGCAAGTAATCCAGGCTCTGGGAGCCAAGGACTGCCAGAGAACTGCAGCAGAGAGGAGCAGTTCTCTATTACCAGTCCAAGCAGAGCCTCCACAACAGCGGGGGGCAATGAGCGACGGCCGAGCCCCGTGAAGAGGAAGGAGCTGGCACCACCTGCATCGGAGCCCTATGGGGAAGTGGCAAGTACCACCAGGTGGTGGGAACAGAAGTGAGCTGTAGTGCAAGCCGCAGGGACCCAGACCCAGCTTTTGCCAGGTAAGCAGGGGGTTGAGGGGCTGGAGGAGGGGGGAGGGGACCATCCCAAACTCCCCCCCCGCCCCCCGTTTGTTCCCCTAGCTCCGTGCTGGCTCTCCCAGCCCCCCACACTCACCAACAGTACCAGAGAACAAGCAAGAGGCTGAAGACGGTCCCGGAGACATTCCACTGCTGTCTTCAGCCCCCTACTCCTTCCCCTTCTGTCTCCACCCTCGCGAAAGCAGGGGAAAGAGCAGGGGGCTGGAGACAGCAGGTGAATGTCTCCAGGGGCTGTCTCCAGCCTCCTGCTCCCTCCCAAAGCTTGAGACAAGCAAGGGAAGGAGCAGGGGGGCTGGAGACAAGCCCCTGGAGATAAGCTGGAGACATCCCCTGCTCTCTCCAGCCTCCTGCTTGTTCTCTGCTACTGCTGGTGACTGTGGGGGGCCTGGGAGCTGGGGGAATGAATAGAGGGTGGGGGGAATGAGCCTCCTGTTCATTTGCCTATTCTCTCCAGCCTCCTGCTCTTCTTCAGCCTCTGGAGGCTGGAGATGAGCAGGGGAATGAGCAGGGGGCTAGAGACCAGCGGGGTGGTGTGGGGGGAGCTGTAGCCCTTGGCAGGGCCTGGGACCCTGCAGGCAGTGTAGTCCATGTGCTTGGGGCAGGGGGCACTCTGCCCTGTGGGGGGCAGGAGACCACTGGTGATGAGTAGGGGGTGCATATGCACTACCTGAGCGTGGCAGTGCACCCCCCAAAAAAGGTGCTGCCAACACAGTTGGTGGTGCCTGTAGGTGGTTATCGCTTGCCACCCCTGCCCCTCCCCACCGCCAGAGGTGTCTGCAGGCAGTCAGCAATTGCTGCTCGCCACCGCTGTTGCTGCCAGTGATGTCTGTGGGTCTTGCCACTTGCCACCCCTCCCCTCACTGCTGACAGTGCCAATGGTGTCTGCGGGAGCTCCCCACTTATCACTTGCACCACGCTCCCACCACCGCCAGTGCCACCAGCAGCATGCGGAGTTCATGCAGCGGACCCATCCCTCCTAAGCAGCCCCCACATTCACAGTCCCCCTACACCTACCCATACAGTGACTCACATCCCCCCACCCTCCTTCCCATCCCCTCCTGCAAACCCCACATCCCCCCCATCACACACCTACCATGTGATAAGGAAACCCAAAGCAAACATTTAAACATAGATATTTAGGATTTATTTCATTATGATGCTAGAGACACCGATAGGCTTCCAAGTTTCTTTAACATTGTAAATATACCAATAAAACATTGCCCATCTGATCAATCCCCCTTTCTTTCGTTCTAATTGTGGAAAAATGTGGATTTTGGGGTATTTTAAAAAGTGAATTTGGGATGCTGCTTCAGCAGTCTAGCTGACACAAGGGGCTAGTGTCCCCAGATACCAATTGCCTGGGCTCCAGAAGCTCCTGAGGTTAAGTAACCCTGAGCTGCTGGCCAGGGCAGGCTTTAGTACTGCTGGGGACAGCACAGGTGCTAGCCCCAAGCTCTAGCTCCCCCTGGCTTGAGATATGGGAGGAGCCAGACAGGGCTGTTTTGCCCCAACTGGCACAATTTGCTCCACAACAAAATGCATGTGCGAGGACATGCACTGAGGCAAAAAGCCCAGGCTCAAATTTGCACTGCTTCTATTTGAGCTGCTGCAAGCGCATGTGCTTGCATGTGTGGACATGCCCAATGAGTCAATCCATTAGGAAACAGCCACATGCCTGGAGTGAGGGAAAACAATTTAGGCACTTTGTGAACCCTTGCTCCCATGAGTTTGGAGTCAAGTGTAGGTAGACAGACTAGTTCACAGTCTGCCAAGAGAGCCATTAAGTATTTTAATAGTCAGAAGTAAGCTGGGTAAGTTCATTCCCTTTGTGCATGGCATACGCAACCAGTGCCAGCAAGCAATGCAAAAAGGAGTTACACTATCTTTAAAGTTGTCCCACATTCAAGTGGTCCAGAAGGGAACTCGACAGCTTCAAACGCTACTAGAATTTTCAACATTTTACAGCACTGAAATAGTTTAAAAGTTTAGAAACAAAACTTCACAATAGGCAACCAACTAGTTCCTCTACAGCAGCAGTTCTCAACCAGAAGTCCATGAGCAGGTTTCAGGGGATCCAACTAGCCCCAAATGGGTCACTAGATGACCTCTGGAAGTCCCTTGCAACCTTGCTTCTGTGACTGCCTCGGGAGCAGGGGTGAGGCAGAAGGGAGGGAGAGAGGGAGCTCTCTGCCCCATCCCACAGCCAGACGCTGCTAGGAGCAAGGGGCCAGGCCGAGGTGGGGGAGGCAGAGGTTCCAGATAGGGCAGTGGTGCTGCAGCCACTGCCCTGCCGGCTCTGGCACCTCAACCACAGGCAGCCAAACACCACCCTCTGCCTCCCTGCGCCTGGGCTCCCCATTGTCTGCGTGGTGGCACCAGCACCCATGCCAGGAGGAGCTCAGTCAGGGCTGCAGCAGTGGCAGGCAGGAGGTTGCCTGCCGATGGGGCCAATGCTGGGCACCTAGAGGTTGCAGCGGGAACTAGCGTAGGCTGGGGGCAATTGCTGAGCACAGAGCCCTGCTGATTTTGCCCCCCACACCTATGGAGACACTGAATGTCCCCAGCAGCTGCAAGCAACAGAGGCAGGTGATCTCCAACCCATGCCATCTTCCAGCCCCGGTGGGTGTGGCTCACCAGGGCTGCCCAAGCCCCCTGCCTACAAACCTACGTAACAAAGTTGCGGGGGATGGGGTGATGCTGCCCCAGTGCCGGGTGCTCAGTACCTGCACTCAGCCACTGCCCACATGGGGCAACCCAGCAGGTGCTGTTCGGAAGCATGGAGAGGTTGGCAGATGGCATGGGAAGTGCCTACCCAGGGCAGGTGTTTTTGTTTTCCACCTTCACCTTACAGGGCACAAGAGTTGAGGCATGCTTGACCCAGGGGCTAGCCTGCTCTGCTTACCCACCTGCTGCTGGGACCCACCTGGGAAGTAATGACTGCTGTCATCTGAGTGACAGAAATTGAATGGCAGTCTCTGCACAACCCCCAGGCAGCTGGTGTTGTTTGGGCTCCCCTTCCCTGGTTATTGCTGGGGTCTACACATCCTATCCTATCCTCTCACACGTGCTCACTCATGCATGCGCATGTATGCACTCATGTAAAGTGCTGCATCTGGGAAGGCAGAACCCCCAGCACATCTACAGGCTGGGCATTGCTAACCTGACCAGCACTACAAATGAAAGGGATCCGGGGGTAACAATAGACCCCAGCATGAATATGAGCCGGCAATGCAATGCAGCAGGCACTAGGGCCAATAAAACTCTGGCATGCAACAATCAATGCATCACAAAAGAAGTGATTCTCCTGGTTTGCTCAACATTGGTGCAGCTACAGCTCGAGTACTGCATCCAGTTCTGGGTGCCGCACTTCAACAAGGACGTGCTAAAGCTCGAGAGGGTCCAGAGAAGGGCCACCCATATGATCAGGGACTTGCATGGCAAGCAATACAAGAAGAGGCTGAGGGATCTCGGACTCTTCAGCCTAAAGAAAAGAAGGCTGAGAGGGGACCCGATTGTGGCTTACCACTATATCAGAGGCATACGTCAGGGGCTTGACGAACAACTGTTTACCAGGGTGCCCTGGGAGAAAACTAGAAACAATGGCCACAAATGCCTGGAAGATAGTTTCAGGCTGAACACTAGGAAAAACTTCTTCACGACTAGGGTGTCCAGACTATGGAACAAGCTCCCCACAGAGGTGGTGCAATCATCTACCCTAGAGGTCTTCAAGAGAAGACTGGATGATCACCTGGCTGGGGTCACTTGACCCCAGATGTCTTTCCTGCTCATGCAGGGGGTTGGACCCGATGATCAGGGGTTATTTCAGGGCCCTTGGCATGGCTTTACGAGCTCTCATGGTGCTCGGGCCAGGTTCCAGATGATTGGAAGATGGCCAATATGCTCCCTTTTTTAAAGATGGGGACGAGGGAGGACCCAGGCAACTATAGGCCCGTCAGTCTTACCTCAATCCTGGTGAAACTCTGAGAAGATCATCAAGGAGCACATCTGTGATGGGCCAGCATCAGAGATGATGCTCAAGGGCAACCAGCATGGTTTCATTAGGGGCAGCTCATGTCAGACCAACCTGATTGCCTTTTACGATCAGGTCACAAAAGCACTGGATGCAGGTGTCGCCATGGATGTAGTCTTTCTGGACTTCAGCAAGGCCT